TACAAGAAGGGGTTGACAAGGAGTTTTATTTCTTCACACACAAAAAAAAAACAGCGTTTTTTCTTAGGTGTTCTTTGGAAGGAGTTATCTTCTTTATGACACAATTGCATTTAGCCGATCAGTGTCACGAATGGCAGATTACCACAGACATTGCATTCAATCAAATGTTTTCGTAAGCCCTGAGAAATAGATAAGAGGATTAGAAGAACAAAACAAAAATAAAAGGAAGGAGAGAAAAGCTCGACCAGTTCTTTTTTCAGATTGTTGCTAGAGATTTTCAAGGACTCGTTTGATTCACTGAGCTCAAGCTCCAGTTTGACACACCTGGTTTTAATGAAAATTTCTTAAGACCTATCTATAATCGAAGAAAATCCTTCTGTTACTTCCTATAAAAAGTCGACTTTAATTATTTTCCCGCCATAGCTACAAACCCTAGTTATATCTTACGGATCTAGGGTTTTGCGCTCTGTTTCTCTGTTCTCGCGCGATGGTGGGGATGATGGCGATCGACAGCGTCGACACGAATCTCCTCTTGGTGGAGGCCTCTGATCTCGCCGCGCATCCAGGTATCGCATTCTTGTCTCGATCCCTTCTCCCTTTCACCCGCGCATTTGCCAGGTGCCCTCCCTGAGAGCTCTGTGTCGGATTTCCTCGCGAAATATCCGTTTCCAGTTCTCTTCAGGTAAGATCTCTGGTTGTTGTGGGATTTTTGCGATCGAATTCGTCTTGTTGGACAGCGTGCTATCTACTGCAGAAACTCCAGAGCTAGTGAGTGCTATTGTCAATGCTGTCGAGAAGATCTTACAATCGCCGTTTGGACACAGCATGCTTATCGGAGTACTCGTAAGCTCCTTCCTCGTCTTAAAGCTTACGATTCTAACCTCCTTTTGCGTTAGCCTTATGCCAATGCTGGTTTAAACGCGGCATCTCCACAGATTCGTCGTCTTGCATGCTTCTCCGTGAGTAGGAACTTATGCTTTCACGTTTCGTGTTCACTGCCTTTTTTTTTCTCTCCTTGGATTCCTGGCAGATAACGAAGTATCTGGAGGATGGTGATTCAAGTTCTGTTCAAACAGCAGCGGATGCTGGCATCATGGACCCGTTACTGAGCACTATATGTGACGAGTAAACAAGCATACTATGTGTGTGTGAATGACGTCTCACGTTTGTTGGTTTTCTTGCAGGGACTCGAGCGTGGCAAAAGAAGCCTCAGATGCTATTGAGAATCTAGCAAAATCAAGCGCTGGACTTGTACGTAGTCCGTAGTCTCGTTATAACTCTCTAGCTGACTGGTGAGATTATAGGAGGTCATTTTTGGTGCGAGCCAGAACAGCCTCAAGGAGCTCGCAATTCACGGATCATCTTTGGTATGTCCTGACCAGTCGTTATGTATTAATCACCGGGTTCGTTTTCATGCAGGTTCAAATCCGAGCGTTGTCTCTGGCAGCACGAATCTTCGGACTATCGGATGTAGCGGCAGCGGCAGTCCAAACATCTGGGATCTTGTCCGTTTTAGAAGGTCAACTAAAAAATTCTAGTGATACATTGGCTCAACTGAACGCTTTCGAAATTCTGAGCGAGGTATTTTTCCTTTACTTTTGTTTTTACTTGTTGTTTCCTTAACGTAATTTGATCTGTAGCTTGCCGAGACACCTGCTGGCGCGAGGCTTCTCCTTGCTGGTACATTCGTTTCTCAGCTCGTTTTTTGGATCCAGTGAGCTTGTTAATATGTTTTCCTCTCTTTTAATAGATTCTAATACTTTTTATCTCATTCAGGAATGCTGAAGTGGATAGTATGGTGCGTTCCCGCTCGATGCAAGTTGCGTCTAGATTGATAAAAACTATTTCAGAGCCTGGTACGGCACACGAAATGATTGTGACTTGAGCAGTTTTTGTTTGCATGTAGATGCACTGCAAATCATCGATGCGATTGGCAACTGCCTGGGGCGTGTGGAAAATTTCGCGAGAAGTTCGGAAAGGTGGGACAAGGATGAAAAGGACGCTGCACTAGATGCGCTTGGTCAGATTGGATCATGTGCGTAAGTCGTTTCTTTTGTCGTTGTTTGGATTTGACTACTGTTCTCCCTCTCTTGTTTTCTTTGTCCTTTTAAATTGTGTGAAATAGTTTCGCATGGTGCTCAAGTCCTGCTGCTCCGCGGTGCGAGGCCACCAGCGCTTTATGTTGTCCATTCGGCTTTTAAACCAGAGCTGGTAGGCTTTTAAATTTTCCTTTTCTGTTGCAAAAGCTAGTGCTTTCCTGCAGGCTGGTATTCATGCTCTGGCATTAATCGCAGGATCCGAAAGGGAAGATGTTCTCCTGAATGAACAAGCTGAAAACGTTCTGCGCGATCTCATCTTTGACGCCATCCATGTATCTTCGCAGAAGACGCTTTCGGTAAGCCGGCCTTCTCCAACCGACTTTAATTCCTTTGTGCTCGTTCAGAATTCCCTTCTTCACCTCCTCAAACAAACGGCCGAGTTGCGTCAAGCTGTAAGTGCGAGACCATCAACTTTCCAAAACTGAATACGTCAAACAATGTTATTGCAGGTGTATAGGCTCCTTGTCCCGCTGGCTTCCAGAACGTGGTGCCTGCTGGAAGTCAGCTCCAACGATGGTTTGGTCGATTTCATCGTCGACTCGCGTATCGAATCGAGCAAACAAGGTAATTATTTTTCTCTCCACGGGTCGTTGGCAAGAGCTGAAGTTCAATGCACACCACAGGCATGGAATGGAGGCACGCTTGCTGTGCTGCTCTGGCCACCGGATTGAGACAAGCCATCCTGTCAGTACGTGGCGATACACTGGAAAAGGTTCGTCTCCGTTTGATCCTTTCTCTTTTTCTCTCATAGCCTCTTTGTTTGTCTTATGCGTGTTTGTAGCTGAATGAGGCAGCTCGCAGGGGTCCTTACCTGTCCAAGGACCACGCACAAGCGATTCCAGTGGTCGCCACCCAAGAGAGGTTTTAAATGGTATGTTTTTTATAGCAGAAACACTGGTCTTATATCAACTCGTTTGTATCAGTGAAGCCCGGCTTGGATCATTGCACGTACACTGCACTATCTCCGTTTTGTCATTCCTAGCACTGGGTACGCTTTAACTTTCTTCTTTTTCTTTGTTCGTTCTTTTCTTCGCAAGGCCGGTGGTAGCTCGTTTTTATCTGCCGCTTGAATCTCTTTCATTGTCGCGGCGCTCGTTATGTCAAATTGGTCCCCCACAAGGTTTCCTTTTCTATCGCCTCCATTGACATGAGCTGACAATGTGCTTGAGCGCCAAGAGAAACGAGCAAAACATTACCATCTGCAAGGCAAGGACGATGTGAAAACTGCCACCAGTGGCGGAGAATTGGTACCTGAAACAACACGAGGCTTATACAAAGCCGGTGGCGATAGCAACACCTCGAGACGAGAGAGCCTCTGGAAAGTTTTGGGCGATGTTTTGGAACACGTATGAGAGTGGGCGATAGACTTTACCTCGGCTGACGAGTTTGAGACTGCGACTCCACTGGCTTGAGCGCAAAGGTCTCGCCGGTTTTCTTGTTCTTCATAACGTACAGCTAAGACAAGAGAGAGGAATTTGTGTGTGGAAAAGCTCGTTAGAGCGAGACTAACAAAATGGAAAGTGGACTCTCACCTCGTCAATAACTTTAAAAACTTTGAGATCGTCTGTGCTGTCACCGCCAACATCGTGGCCGAGGACCACCACGTCTTTTAGTGCCGCTGACGGTGGCTGTGTGGCACATCGAGGCAAACGAATTAATACAATGATATAATGATCATGCATTTGCTTACGTGGTTTTCCGGTAACAGCTTCGAAGAGGGTGTCGCGTCCTCCACACTCCAAGACATTCCCTAGAGTGGTAAAACACAAAGATAGTCATGGATGATAAGCACGCAAAACACGTCTTACGTTTGCCTTCACCTGCGTCATCGTGGAAGGCTGTGCCACATTGTTCTAAACAAAAGGATAAGAAAGCATCAAACGGAAGTTCGAGAATACGTACGGTTTTTGTTTTAACTTGCACTGGATCTTCGGCACTGTTCTTCAGCGCCAGCTCGGGATGCTCCTAGTAGAAGATAACGAATCAAATTATTGCTTTTCGCATCCATCTGACTTACTACATGATTATATACCTTTCTAATCTTCTTTGCTTCTTGCCTGGTGAGAACAAACTCCGACAAATCCACCTCAACCTGTGAACTTCCATGGTAGAAAGTAAGAAATCACACAATGACACGCTACCTTATATTCAACTGATATCGTGTTCCCAGTCGCAGCTTGATGAACCGCGACAATGATGTCACATATCTCTTCTACTTGGATGCTAGAGAATAAGTAATCGTACTCCTGCACCAATAAAACTTTGACCGACAAAATGGAAAAGGAATCTATAAGACCTGCGGGCAGCACAAGATGAACTGATGGCTATACTTGCTCCGTACGATGTGCACGACAGCACAAATGTCAATCCGGCGCTTGCACTGCACCGTGAGCCTGCTTTTAAAGTTGTAGACCGCCAGGTTACTCACCACCATCACTCGAGGTTGGACAGCCCCCTTGTTGTTGATTTTCTCAACCCAGCCACTGTACTGTATCTCCTCGTCGGTAGATCCTGGAAGAAAACCACATCAACAAACAAGTTTAATCTTTCGTACCAAGTTGAGCTGCGGCAGCCGAAAAATGCCGGGTCCCCTGCCACTTCAGATGATCATGGCTCGTGGCTTCACCAGAGGTAGACCCCTGTAAAAAATAAAACACGAGAACGTATCAAACAAATGGATCTGGCAAGAAACTTACGGAGAGCCTCGTGAGTTCCTGGCAGCGCGCCATGTCGGGAGAGCCACTCGTAGCCGCGAAGTGTGCTTAATTCACATGATGCTTCACCTTCGCCTTCCAGAGCTTTTGAAACTTTTCCCGGATGGCCAGCCGTAGGATTCCGTCACAAGCCACGGCCCGGATTCCGTGTCGTAAAAGGTCGCAGAAGGCCAACAAGGAACAAGCTTCGAATCTTCTGTACGTCTGCTTGACCAATTCACTCCGTTTTAATGCGTGTACTACCTCGCTTCGCTTCCACAGTTCTTTTTGAGTGTTCATCTGTTAAACCAGAGCTGTCAGTTGCTTGTAGCTGCTAATAACTCGGATCAATGCGAACTGTTCCTTTTCATGCAGCTCCCATGAGCTTCACATGTCGCACCCCTTATATAAAGACTACGGCTAAAAAAAACGCTCCAGAGTCCACCTTTATCAGTGATGTGCTTCTGCGTTTTCTTCTGCGGACTCGTCCCGTGTATACACTCCGCCAGGGGGTCCCTTTGTGAGAAATACAAGCTGGGGGAGGAACTCGGCCACGGCGCGTCTGGTGTAGCGCAAGTCTGCATAGACAGGATCACAGGTGAGGAGCTTGCTTGCAAAAAAATCACAAAAATAGAACACTTGCACCAAGATGAGGTCGGGATTCTCAAGCAGCTGTATGGCCATCCAAACATAGTGAAGCTGGAAGCAGCATTTAGCGATGAAAAGGAGACTTACCTTGTCATGGAGCTCTGCAGAGGAGGTAGCCTGTTCTCGAATGGAAGCCTTTTGAGTGAGATGGAAGCTGCTCAATTGTGCAAGAACCTGATGGAGGCCGTCAAGTTTTGCCACTCCAATGGAATAATTCACAGGGATATCAGCCTCAAGAACATCCTGCTGGGCGACAACTGCTTCAAACTAGCCGACTTCGGACTTGCAGCACACTTCCAGCCCGGAGAGTATCTTTCGGATCTCATAGGAACTCTCTGCTACATGGCCCCCGAAGTTTTCAAGCGGAGATACAGCAAGGAAATTGACATCTGGAGCTCTGGCGTCGTTATCTTCGCAATTCTCAGTGGAAACTTCCCCTTCCATGGCAACACCTTCAAATCGACTATACACGCGATCGAAGCGGCCAGGATTGATTTCGACCCGGAGTATTGGTCCAATGCTTCACCTTCAGTAAAGGATCTGATTAGAGGAATGCTCCACCAAGATCCAAGGAAAAGGCTTACTCCAGAGCAGGTCCTCGATCACGACTGGGTCGTACATCACACCAGCGACGAAGCCAGGAGTTCGCTTGCAACGATCAACACGCGAAGATACTTCGGCTCCAAATCAGAGAAGAACTCCTCAAGTTTTTCGTTGTCCCAGGTAGCCAGAGATCTGATAGTGTGCGCGAAACTTATACTCGGGCTCATTCCCAATTGAAGGCGTTGTATTAAGATAAATACTTTGTGATCCACGGAAGATCAAGGCAGTCTCTTAACGCGAAGGAAACGTCATCACTAGCCAGGGACGGGCGTCAGCATTGGAAAATATAAACACAGAGGGAACTCCACTACCTGGGGAAGTTTAATTGAAGTTTCTGCAGCCTGTGCCTACTCCCCGTTTCACAGAGTAGCAGCCGACACTCCCCGAGTTTGCACCTGAGTTCCCACAAGTTACACGTGAACACGGAAAACAAATTGTACCCGATGGAGAGTAGAACGTCTTTGTCTGGGGGTTGCTCGCCATTGTTAGAACACAAGAGACTCTGCGCTCTTGAAACCTGGAATCATGATTACTGGCTAGATGATAGCTGATGTATATAATATCATGTACATACTTGGTCAAAAGTTGTTTCAACCATGCCGGTCCTGTGATACTCGTAAACCATAGCAACGAGAAATATTTTTGCATGCTTAGAACACATTCGCATTGCCTAAGGAAAGAATGTTAGTAACAAAGCAAAGCTTTCTAAGTCGACGACCTGAACATGCGGTGCCTGGAACATTTCCGTAACAGCGGCCTCCACGTCGGCCATTCCAATCAATCTAGTGTTGGATTCTGAGCAACGGTCAGGACATCCGAAAACATTGCATGTACATCTACCTTCCAAGTCTCCAGATTTTTGTCGGCACTCCGCAAGCTCTGCAGCCCTACGACAGAGCTCCAACGCTCGTCGTGCATCACCAGATACAGCAGCAACCTCCAAAACACAGTTCCGATGAGAACAAATTGTCAGGCGTTCCTGTCGTTACCTTGCGTGAAGCAAACTCTACTGCTGCCTTTTCAAACGCCTCAGTCCCTGATAAACGGAAACTAATAATCTCCTGCAGCTGAATGTACGAATAGGGACTAAAAGACACTCTCTGAAGTCCCATTCTACTGGCAATTCGTGGTAGCAAACGCTCAGGCAAATCTATCGTATTTGCAATTCCTAAACAAAAAAGCCTTGAGTTTCAGCAGAATGTATTCAAAACGTACCGATGACCATAAGACGCGAGTTTGGTCGACAAGGCCAGTCAAAAAGATTGTAGAGAACCTGCGAGTAACCGTAGAATGTTCAACGATTTGATGAAGTCAAATCTTACGGATTGTGAGCGCGTAACCAGAAGATCCAATTCATCGACCAAAAGAATGCAGGGTCGACTATCGACCCCTCCCAAAGATTTGCAGTTCGAAAACCGTTCATCGAGTAGCTGCAATGCCCTCTTCCAGCTCAATCGCTGGCCAGTCAGAGCTTCATGAAGAACCTGAAACTCTGTATGAAACACCTAGAATAAGTCAAGCTGCGCAATTACCGTGTATGTTTGCTCCGGCGACGTGAGACGCAGCCCGTTCATCGCCACAAACCGATATGGCTGGATTTCCTTCGTGCTTAGCTTCTTCTCCATCCGCCTCATGACATCCAAAACAGTAGCTGTCTGTGGAACATTGATACCATGCATCAACATTAATCACATGCATTGCAAATTTATCATACCTTTCCAGTTCCTGGGACACCGCTGATGTAGAGACATTTTCCAAGATTCTCCAACCCTTCTTTTAGAGCATCCGTTACAAAAGCTTCAATTTCCTTGCATTCCCTGATTCACGAAGATCAGGACCACGACCAGAAATCTAAAACGAATACGCGTACTTTTCACGACAAGGCAAAGAGCCTGGAGTTGTTGAAAGTGAAAGTGCAATCTTTGCCTTTTCGATTTCAGTCAAATCCTTTCCACTGTCTTCGGGAAAGATCTTTCGCCGTAAAACCTCAGATCCAGTGACTTCTGTATGAGACTGATATAACAAAATAAAAAACTTTTGCATCGTAAAGCCTACATTTACCTTTCTTTTTGGTGTTTTGTTCGGTGTTTTGTTTGGAGTGGAAGACCTCCGCTTCTTGTTCGAAGCCTTACTCTCCTCGTGCTCTTCGAAGTCGTGGTCAGCCTGCGTTGTGTGTAAAAACCAACAACCTTATAGATCAACGCGTACCTCCTCTACCAAGTCGACAATTCTCTTAAAAGTGTGCCACTTCATTTCATAGTCATACTCGCAGTAAAACACATCATCCCCTTCGTTGCTAGCTTTAGAAAAATCTTCTGGGGAAAAGACATAGCAATGCCTGAGAATCGATTCCACCTGTAAATGAAACGAAAACAAGCAATCACAAACAAATCCTTTGGAGCGAGCACCTCATTGTGATCGACATGTTTCGTGCGAAAAAGTTCTCTGCTTCCATTGTGCGGCTGCCTGCCTGAAGCAGTTTCCTCGGGCACAAGATACCATCTTCCAGAAAACCAAGGTGAGCCATCAGCTTCCATCCACAGCCTGAAGAACAACAAAAGAAAAAGATGAAGTTAGCGAGCTGGTCTTCACAAGTTTTTTTTTTTCACCTTTCGATACGAGCAGCCCAAAGCTCCTTAGCCAGTAGTCTCTCTCGCGCAGTTCTATGCCTCCGCCGACTTGGTTCTTCCCCCACGGCTTCTTTCTTCTCACACTTGAAACAAATCCAATCTCCTCCTGGGACTTCTTCCAACGGAGGCTCCAGGCAGCCGAGATGGAAGCCACCGAGACAAGCATCACACTCGATCATGACCTCTCCTCCAACTTTCCCACACACCCTACAATCTTCCACTTCCTCGTCAGACTCATCACGCTCAGCGGACTCTAGCTTCCTGACGTAGACATCCTCCCCAACCTCAAACACGCCATCGTTCCATTCGATCCTAGAAACATACTTTCTATCGCCATCCCTGCTCTTTCTCCTCGATCTTGCCCTTGGCAGCACAGGCGAAAATCCAAGATCGCGCTTCACAGAGCGCGGGGCTGGAGAGAGGCCGAGTGATTGCGAAGATTTGGGTGATGGATCGCAGTGCGAGCTGGGAGACGCAAACCTGGGCGACTGGCGACGGGGAGCCGGCGGCGTCCCCGCATTCCTCCCCCGCATTGTCTGTCGAGAAACCCTGATAAGCCCTAAATATTTCCCGCCCAAAGTAAGACATTCTAAAATGTCGCTCTCAACAGACGTTTTCACACAAAGCAGTAGATAAAACACAAACTTGTTCATTGTACTTGTTTTATAAGTTTTGAATATTTTGAGGTTAAAACTAACATAACACACTATTAGTTTTTTTTTAAATTTAACTATTAATTAAAATATTGAAAAATTATAACAAATATATAAAATTGTTAAATTTACTTGGTTATTAGAATATAAAGATTAAATAATTTTTTAAAATAGCATACTAAAATCTATCACTCTTTTATTTATTTTAATTATTAAATTTAAATGTAATACATTTATTGAGAAAAAAATAAAATCTAAAATGCCTAAACTACTTGGAAATCAAGACTTTTTAAATCATTTGAAATTTTACTTTGAATGAATTTAAATGTAACAAATTTATTAAAAAATTTCAAAAAAGAAATTGCCCAAACCATTTGAATATCTAAACTATCAAAACAATTTGAAATTTTACTTTGAGTGACTTCATTATTTAAAATTTCTATTTGTAATAAATAATGAATGAGCCATCACTTCTCTTTATTCTAAAAGAAAATCTTTAAAATAATATTAAATTAAATGTTTTTGTAATTTTATAAAATTAATTTATTATTACTATTAATTTTGGACTATTCAAGAAAATTTAATATCTAATTAATCTAATCTTGATATACCATTAATTTAATACATTCTAACCACATCAAAATAATGTTATCTACTCCTCATTCATTATATCTCCATTCTAAAAAAAACTAGTACTAAAACAATACTTTACCAATTTTAAAAAATTTCTTTGATATTCTCTCTCATATTAATTAACTAAAATTTAGAATAACCTTTGTGATTGTACTTGTCAATTACACCTCTAAAAGAGCTATCTACAGTATTCATGTTTATCTTTTGACATTCATTTATCACTAATGTAAATTATTATTTTTGCAATCATATAAAGTATTTTACTGAATTTTAATTTGATTGAAATCATATATCCTGAATCCTTGTGCAGGAAATTCGTGGAGGCAGTAAGAAACAGCTTTCAGCAAACATCCCCAAAGGTACACTAGCATTAAATAAAAATGATTTTCCAGTGCGAAGAAATAATAATCACAAGTCATCAAGCCATGATCCTCTTGAGCACCGGATGCAGCTACCAGCAAGCACGAAAAAATACAAACAAAAACACGTAGGAATGACAAAACGGATGATGTGCGGACGCGCAATGATCCAAGCTGGGCTCCTTTCTTGCGAGTGCAGAATTTAGGCTGGAAAACCACAAAACTTGATGAAAGGCACTGCTATAAGAGACATACCATTTAAAACGTCTCTTGCTTGGATGTGGTCCTAACACCTGCGAGCTGAGAAAGAAGAGAACGGATCAACTGAAAACAAAAAGTAAACCTTTTCCTGTGTATCGCCACGCACTAGCAGGATGGCTGCCTCAATCCGGTGGCCAGAGCAGCACACCAAGCGTGCCTCACCTGCGTGTATTGAATCCCGTAGAGAGACAGAGAGAGCAATTACCTTTTTCGTCGATGAAATCGACCAAGCCATCGTTGGAGCTGACTTCCAGCAGACACCACTTTCTGGAAGCCAGTACGACAATTGAGGAGCCTATACACCTGCAATAACATTCTTTGAAGTAAATGCTTTTCGAAAGGTTAGTTGATGGTCTCGCACTAACAGCTTGAAGCAACTCCGCCGTTTGTTTGACGACTTACCGAAAGCGTCGTCTGTGGAGATACATGGATATGAGATCGCGCAGAACGTGTTCAGCTTGTTCATCCAGGAGAACACCTCAATCCTGCGACTAACGCATGAACAGCAGCCTGCAGGAGAGCGTTTTTGCAACAGAAAAAGAAAATTTCAAAGCCTACCAGCTCTGATTTAAAAGCCGAATGGACGACATAAGGTGCCGGTGGCCTCACACGGCGAAGCAGCAGGACTTAAAAAGGATAAAAATAAAAGAGAGACAAAAGAGTAGTCAAATCCAAACAACAGACACTAGAAACGACTTACGCTGACTAAGCGCATCTAGTGCAGCGTCCTTTGCATACCTGTCCCATCTCCCGAACGTCTCGCGAGATTTTCCATGGTCATCCCGAGAGGCGTACCAGGCTGTATCAGTCTAGACGCAACTTGCATCGAGCGGGAACGCACCATACTATCCACTTCAGCATTCCTGAGTGAGCGTATTAGAGACAATTAGAAGAGAACGAGCTCACTAGATCCAAAAAAAAAACGAGTGAGAAACGAATGTACCAGCAAGTAGAAGCCTTGCCCCAGTAGGTGTCTCAGCAAGCTACAACCAATACCGTTAGGAAACAACAAGTGTTTGACAATAGAAAAGAAGATATACCTCGCTCAGAATTTCGAGTTGGGCCAGAATTGAATAGTTGACCTGCAAAACCGGTGCCGCTGCCGCTACATCCGACAGTCCGATGATTCCAGCTGCCAGAGATAACGCTCGGATTTGAACCTGCAGGAAAACGAGCAACGGATCAGGAGAAACCAAAGATGATCTATGTCTTATATCGAGAACTACGTACACGTCTAGCGCTTGGCTTTGCTAACTTCTCAATGGCTGCTTTTGCCACGCTCGACTCCCTGCAACAAATCCAGCAAACATGAGCGTCATTCACACACCTAGTATGCTTGTTTACTTGTCACATATCTGTTGCTGTTTGCACAGAACTTGAATCGCCATCCTCTAGACACTTAGGAAGGTATCCAAGAGGGAAAAACTTAGAGAGCAATACGAAACGTGAAAACATAAGTTGCTACTCACGAACATGGAGCATGCGAGACGACGAACTTGTGGAGATGCCGCGTTTAAACCAGCATTTGCATAAGGCTAAAAACAAACAGAGAAAATTAAAATCGTAGCATGAAGGCGAGGAAGGAGCTTACGAGGATTTTGATAAGCATGCTGTGTCCAAACGACCTTCTGGACAGCATTGCTCTCACAAGCGCTGGAGTTCCTGCGGTGAATAGAACCCTGTCCAAGAAGACGAATTCAATCGCATTCGATCCCACAAAGAAAGACCCAGAAATCTTACCTGGAGAGAACCGGAAACGGATATTTCGAGAGGAAATCCGACACAGAGCTCTCGGGAAGGGCGCGCGGCAAATGCACGGGATCGATCGCGACAAGAATGCGATACCTGGAAGCGCGAAGAGATCAGAGGCCTCCGCCAAGAGGAGATTCGTGTCGACGCCGTCGATCGCCATCATCCCCGCCATCACGACGCGAAGAACAGAGCGCAAAACCCTAGTTCCCAAGGAAAGAAAGGTTCTTGTATTGCAATTGCAAGAAATCGATGGATGCACAGAGCTGGATCGTCGATCGCATCTTCAATACATCTCTGGACAAGACGAGCACCAATTTCAAGCATAGATCACGCCAAATCGAATGACTCACCGCTGGAATGCCGAAGCATTCACACCATAGCTTCAAAACACGAACACGAACACGAACACGGCATTCAATTTTTTGAACACGAACATGGAACACGGAAATGAACACGGATAAACACGGGTGAAAACACGAATATTCTCTAGAATATTTTACTTATCACTCCATCTCATCTAGAAGCTCCTCATTAGCAGGATCATCATCTTCGTCTTCGTCCTCTTCTTCCATAGCTTCAATATCAGCATTAGTAATTTGAGGAATACTTCCTGTCTGGCTCAATCCCACAAACTTGTTATAGGAAGTGTGGCTCCCTATCAACTTGGTATTACTGGCCACAAATACCAAGTCTGCAATCCGGCTCACTGCTAAGCAATTCCTTTTCTTTGAAGTGATGTGCCCAAAAATGCTAAACAGTGCCAAAGATGTAGTGCCAAGCAGCTAAGAATTATGGCAGAAGCAATTTAAGGAGAAAATTTGGGAGAGAAAATCTACAAACCTGGAGACAATGATCAGGAATTTTTTGCAGTGAAATCAAGCGTGGCTGAGCACCATTCCTCCCACTCCAGCGCTAGAATCCTAGAGAGGGCATTCCCAGCCCAAGAAAATCGCCATAGATCGCTGGAAAAACCTTTTGATTGATCGCAGGAATTTTTGATTGATCGCAAGACAAGAAAACATCAAAGCGCAAAACACTCACGTTAACCACGTGAGCTATTGTTTTAGAACACGGCGTGGTCACACGGTATTTGACCATGTTTCAACCGTGTTTGGAGCCATGTTTTGGAGCATTGACCGAGTCAATGAACACGGCCCGTGTTAACACGGCTGGGGGCCGTGTTCGTGTCACCATGCCAACATGCCGTGGTGCACGGTGTGTTTTGAAGCACTGATTCACACGCACAACAAATCTCTAGTAGGCACACCAAGGCACACCACTAACTAGGGAGATGCCCCTGGAGACAATGGGATTAAATCAAAATGTTCAATGTAGGCATTGAACTCTTCTATGGGTGGTGGAGTTGTGAGGAATCAATTCCCATAGGTGTCGTAGGTTAAAGGATTCTGAAATCATGATCAGAATAATAAAAAGTTCATTGGATAATATTGAGTTTGAGATTGAGTCTACATTGGAGTTCGAGGCTGAGTCTGAGACCAAGTTTGAGATCTGAGATTAGGTCCAAGACCGAGTTTGAGATCCAATCTGAAACCGAATTCGAAGTCAAAGTCTGAGATTGAATTTAAGATTAATGTTATATTAATACAGGCTGTGGGGTGAAAGCTTAAAGCAACTATCTCTCAGGGAAGGGCCACTTGGTTCCAAAAGTATAGTAAAGATAATGAGGCTCAAGACCCACTCTTGAAAGAATTATTTACTAGTGCTTTCTAACTGAGTTAAGATTAGAATTGAGGGTTGGTGCCCTTTGGTGAGAGTGAGTATGGATTTAGGAGGTGTTAAAAGATGCCTCCTAAAGATGTTTTTGGCTCATGTGGAGTGGTGCCCTCACTTAAGTACAATGTGGTTCATTGGTCCTTACTCCTTCCTAAGGGCTTAGGCTTTCTTTTTTAGGATGGAAGTAAAGGAGTAAAGGTACTTATATTAGGTTGTTAGGCTATAATGTTTCCCCCAGGGTGTTAACATAAAAGCACTCAAGGTTAAGGTTCCATAATCAAATCTTGTTTACCAAAGGATGTTAGGAACATAGAGTTTTAATGTGCTTGGCTATTTGTGCTTAAGGAGAATGCAATTGAACCTAAAGTCCAATTTAACCTAAAGGGGGATTAGAAGAGAATTTAGGAATCTATAAATGGATGGGTAACATTTCATTACTCGTGAAGTGAATAGTTAAATCCAAGTAGGACGAGGTAAGTTGGCAAATTCGTTATTAAATATACAATGAGAAACTTAAAAATTTACTAAATATGAAATGGTGCTAGATTGCAAATCAAGACACAAAAAACAACACTATAGGGTTCAAAACACTCTTTACATTTCATAGGCAGATTTAGGCATTCATTATAAATAGTATATAGATCTGAAATAGTACACACATAGGGCATGATACCAAGGGTGTCTTAGCAAATACAATAAATTATCATCCCAATATCATGGGGGTTTTTAACACTAGTAACTGCAAACCAACAACATAAGTTTTTCATCATTGTATCAAATATGCTTGATTAAATGACAAATTAAAATATCATTCCTTAGTGCTTTTCTGGTCTAAGTGCACATGTGATAATCAATTTCTCGATTAGCATAGGTGGAGACTAATAAAAAGTTCAACAACATTGACTTTTTGCTGTTATAGTAGTAAAAGAAGAATATTTGAAAGGACTCACCAATGGATAAATTTTGATACTTACAATCATATTTACATCAATGGTTTTAAACCCTAAAACTCAGATCCCACTTCATTACTTTTAGCACAAGGATGCTCCATAGTTAACTTATTGAAGCACAAATAGATTTTAATTATGGTTTGAGATCACACTCTATAGAATCTGGGTGAGAGTCTCCATGGTCATAAAACCTTAAGCTCAAAATATATCATAATATAACTAAAAGATTTTTTGCACTATTTTTCTGGGATTAAATTAGTTCAATACCAAATTATATGAAACATATTTATAACATGCTTTATTTCTCAAACTAGTTTTTTCTCAATTTTAATATTTAATTTTTTAAAAAGTTAATTGACTTTATTCAAATTTCATTTAATATATGGTTTCTAGTTGTGTTTTAATCTTTTTTATAAAATCAGATTGACAGTGGTTTTTAAATATTTTAGAGTATGGTTTATTTAGTTTTGGTTTGCTTAAGTAAAATTATAGGACTGGAATGGTAGTGGATATACCTAAAATATTCTTGGATATTCTAGAAAATTCTACCATCTAACGGTTATTATTCATTTAGATTAATCTTGTATTTATAATTTATAAACTTTCTTAAACCCTTTTTAGTATATTCTTTTTTATTCTATCATCTAGTGGTTGATATGCAATAAGATTAATCTTGTATTTATAAATTACAAACATGCTTATAATTATAAACTTTATTTGCTCAATTGGATTAATAAGTACAAATAACACTAATATTAAGCAAACCAAGCATTGTTACATGCAATGCATAACAATTTATTTATCGGTTTAGTATATTGATTATTAAGAATAGGTTTACAAGTTGGTTTAAATTGAAAAGTAGTTGGATTGTTAACTGGTTCTTACTCAAAATAATAGTGTGATCCAAAATGCAAACCACAATAGACTATGAGGAAATGTTGTGTTCATGTCATTGAGGTACTCTTCTAAATGTCTATTATTTGGCAAATTCTGGAGCATTTAAACCTCCAATACATATGTCATAGCATCCCATTGGTACACTATATAAACTCTATAAACTCATATATAGTGGAGTTGAGTATAACTTTAAGCTATTGATACTAGGTCATGGGATAAGTATTTGATAAATATTCTTCTATAATTTTAAGCAGAGTTTGCCTAAGTGGGTCATTGGGCTTTGTGCTCAGTAAAAGGAATTGTATTAAACATTACAGTAAATTAGGTTACAAGTTTATGAAATTTATTATAACATTTAGTTTGATATATAGCAATTGTGTTTCATACAAAGGATCAAGAACAGGCAGGTCCACTTAATGTTCCTTCATATATTAGCTTATTGATTAATGAACCTTAAATGCCTTCCATCATTTAGAATTATCTAAGGTCCAAATCAATAGTTACAATGTAATATTTTTGATAGTTATCAGATTGGATTCAATATGAATCACTCACTTTTATATATAAACTAGGTTTTTTTTAATGTTATTTAAACTCTTACACAACATGTAAGTACATTAATCATATACACTAATTTTATTTTTATATATATATATATATATTTATTTATTTATTTATTTGGGATTGAATCTAGTCCATCCAGTAAGCAGGGGTCTAAACCCCAATTAATATATCTATTCTTATATCCCAAACACTCAAAAACATAAATCATAAATGAAATTTGTTTTATAAAATATAAAAGATAAACTTTTAAAAAAGGATAAGATAAAAGGTATAAAGGTTTTTCATTTGTTGTTTCCAGGCGTTTGTTTCATGGAGATGGATGATCCGATTTCTGGCTTGTCAAGGGAAATCCAGGAAGTTCAACGGCAGATTGCTGTGGTTGAGGGCCAAATTATTGAGGGGAAACTCAAGCAACCAAATGATCCCGAGGAGGAGGAGCAGCTGCTCCACGACAAGGCGCAGCTGCGCAAGAAGGAGCAGCAGCTGTGCGATCTCTTACTGAAGTCCAAGAGTAAGCCTTTGTGGATGTAGGCTTTCATTGTTTTGTCTTTCCTTTTTAGATCTCTTGGTCCGTTTTTGAGTGTCTCATGCAAATTTTGACTTGCGTTGTTTTTTCTTGCAGAATCAGTCAAAGCAGTTGGGACTGTGGCAAATATAGAAAGTCTCTTGGATAGCGCAAGCCAAATCTTGAATATCCCAAGGCGGATGCGTTTCTGGCGAATTTCCCAACGTGTAAAGTCCCACTGCCAAAAGATCCTACAGATGAGTGCCCCTGCCTCTTGTGGCATGCACTAGACCAGCCTTTCGAAGCATCCAAGCGTATCATAGAGGGAACTTCCAAAGCGCAGCCGACCCTTACCGTTCTCTTCAACGTGTCGGGATCAGGGAAGACCAGGACATTGTATGAGATCGCTGTAGCGCAGCGTGGGCTCTTCTTCGTGGGGGTCTCTGACACTGGTATTGGAGCTGAAGGTTCAGGAGATCTCAAGTTAGTGGCATTAAAGTTGCTGGAGCTGTATCCAACTGGAGACATTCCAGAAGTTAGTGCTGCAATCTGTCTCAAAGCTTTGCTCATTAGCAGGTTTTATTTGCTGGGGCAGGTGGAGAAAACGGGCTATTTGACAGGTCAAGCATGGCTCTTCAAGCAGGTTGCATTGCCTTCGCTCGAGTACTTGTACAACTTCAAAGATCCGTTCAAGGCGCTCACTGGTAGACTTTTAGACCTTATACGGACTAAAGACGATTTGAAACCCATTGAAGGTCAGTTCCAGGAGGTACTCGATCGTTTAATAGGGAGGGATCGTTTAATAGGGAAGTGGAATAGTCCAATCATATTTGACGAGTGCAAGATGATAAACCGCTGGTTGGAAAAGCGATTTTCTTCGGTAACTCTTGGAAGTGGTATGAGATCGTTCCTAGATATTCTCGTGCCTGCGCTGATAAATAGTGGATTTCGACAATTCTACTATGCAGGCAGCGGGTCTAGTATGCTTACCGTGGCACGGGATATCTCTGCCACTCTGAAGGGGAAAGCTTCTGTTGTTGTCTTTCATGGATTTGGTGGATTCATCACTGTTGAGGACTTCAAGCTCTATGCTGGCAAACTGCTCCAAAGTGTGGATGGTATTGATATGCAGAGGGTCTGTGATTTGTACAAAGGAAGGTACAGGTTCTTTGTCACAGCTCTTGAGTATTTCATTGGGAGTAAGCGTCCCTTGGAGCAGGCAACAGAATTTCTGATTGCCTTTTTTGAGAAGATATGCACCTCAAGTACAATCAGTCGTTCTCTGGGAGGTGTACCAAACACATCAGGATTGGAAGTCTACATGGATGAGACGGTTCTGAGGGATGTGGAGCTGTTTTTTGAAAGGACTCGGAATGCTGCAGCGCTCAAGGAGCTAGAGGTGATAGTGTATCACCAGATGTTTGGGTCCATATCCACTATACTCAACATCAACAATCCATCTCTGAGCCTTGTGGAGTTCGGGTTAGCCTGGCTAAGCAGTGGAAACAGTGTTGCGTTGGAGGACTTGGATAAGTTCTTTGCAAAGCAGGATAGAGACACTTGGATCAAACTTCAGGAGCCTGCTGTCTTCCGAGCTCTTTTCCATTACTTTCGTAGTTGGCGGCCAACAGGCTTTGATGAGTTTTGTCAGCAGCAGCTTGCGACAGTGGGTCTTGAGTTTGATAGGCTGGCGGGGATTATGGTGGTTGACGCATTGGACGGAAAGGCTCCTGTAGACTTTGTTTCTCGCTTTCTTCGGAATCGCAGTGTGGAACTGCGGAACAGCACTTTTCAAGTTCCCGCAATATATTTTGAGAAGGCAAAGGTGGTGAAAGCACGCGTTGAAACAGAAGTTGTGACAAAGATGTGCGGTAAAAATCACACCCATGGCGCCGACTGTTATACACTTGAGAAGTATCTCAACGACGTTGAAGGGCAGGCTGACTCATTTCCAACGGTTCTCTGGACTGGTGATGGTGCCTGGGATGGCTTTCGTCCAGACGCATTGTTTTTTCTCACCAATGATTATGAGTCGAAGCGGCAGCTCATGCCTTGCTTGTTACAGATGAAATCCAGGACTGATACAACTCCTCAAGGTGAAATTTCAAGTGCTCTCGATTTGATGAATTGTAGGAAAAACGAAGATGAAGGTTTAAACAGGCTTATAAATCTTGCTTCAGAGAATGGACTGCTGCGACTGGCAGTTTTGCCTCATACGGAGCAGGATCTAGAACAGTTTGGTTTCAACTATTTTACCGGTCAACGCCCTAGTGGTGCCCCACAGAAACAGCAAAAAGTTGAGGGGGCGATACAGCCATTATGTGGAGTGATTGGTGGCAATAACGTGTCTTTGTATCTCAAAGAGTGGTTGACTGACTTCGGTCTGGGTTCTCAAAGCTAATGTATAAAAAATCTGAAAGTTTGTATCGAGAACCTGTAAGTTCGCATTGTGAACCTGTTTAGCACAAGGAATACGAAAGAATTAAACTAGCAACGCTTAGTTTCTCCCAGCGTTGTCAAGAAAAGCGAAAAACAATAACTGACATTATCGCTGCTCCTTTGAGAAGGCCCCTTGATCTTCTCTTCTGATGAAGAAGAAACGAAAAAAAACAAGAGAGAAGACGCACGATTTCGTGGAATTGAGCTAGCAAATCCACTTCTCACCCCTGACTTGTTTCAGTGCCGCCACCACCCTCGAGTTCTCTCTAGCGATTCCTTTCTAGAAATTCTATCCTTCCATGTCGCCAGAGCCTTCTTCTTAGCCTCTACTCTCACACTCTCAGCATCGATCACTATATTCTCTAACGAGTTCTTGCCATGCCACTAGAAAACCACCCCCTTGTACTGTGAATGTAGCGCTTGCTGCTAGCCCTGTGCTCTAGAGACCCATCCCTGACTGTCTCTATCATCGTTAGCTTTCCCAAAGAGATGGAATCCATCCCGGGATGGAGCAGCCATCTGGCTCCTCCTCCGCGCGGATAATCTCCACTGTCTTGTCCAGGAATTCGTGGAGCTGATCTTGGAGGCGAACCTGAGGTGTGATCGTCGGCGGCGCCTTCTTCTACCTGGCGTTCGATTCTAGGCCTAGCAGCGGATGGAGTGAGCGAGCTATAGTCCACGACGCAGCTGCGCAGCCGCTTCTCTTCCTCCTCCACTTCGCTCGATTCTTGCATCGATCGCTTTCTCATCTCCAAAACCCTAGGAAGAATGCGCTCACCTCTCTGGATCCAGCAATGCGCGGACGATCTAGACGAGCTAGCTCCGCTCCTCCAGCGCTCCAAGATCGCATCGATCGATCGACCGATCGTCTCGCTAGGGTAAAGCATGGTTATTTCGAGGGTTTTTGGTGTTTGAAAGAGTCAGGATGGGCGAGGCGCTACTGTCGACCCTTCCAGCTGGAGGAGATCATTGCGCGGCTTCTTCTGCCAGGGGAGGCACTGGATTCGCGACCGTCGCAGCGTCATGGCGCCGGCGACGAGACAATCCCAGGTTTTCTAGCTTCTCGAGTTCCAGGGGAAGATCTGGAAGACGTCTCGTGGTTACATTCTCTAGCAATTCGGAGCCGCAAGGAAAGAATGATAGCCTCCAGCTCTATGGACAGATCGAGAAGTATGCTGGTGAAAGAATTTCGATGAATTGCCTCGTTTTCATGCTTGTTCTTTCTTTCTAGGGTTTTTGTGGACTCTGCGATGAAAGCACAAGGAACTCTTGGACGCTGGCAAGAAATCCAAGTAAGCTCTACTTTTTTTTTTTTCTTTCGCGGAGAGAGCACTGGTGATTTTGTTTTTCTTCTCCAGGGAGCATGGATTCTAAGACCGAGCAAAGGAGATCCTGTTGGAGTTGTCCATTTTGTGGGTGGTGTTTTTGTGGGAGCTGCTCCACAGATCACGTATCGCTTGTTTCTGGAACGCCTTGCAGAGAGGTGAGAGTTTCGTATTGATTTTAACTCTCCATCTTTTTCTTTTCCATGCAGAGGATTCTTGATCATAGCAACGCCATTCGCGAGTGGCTTCGACCACTTGAAGATCGCTGACGAGACGCAGTTTAAGTTTGATCGCTGCATAAGAGCCTTGAAAGAGCAATCTGTAAGTTTGGTTCTTTTTTCTGTAACGCATCTTACAAGCTGCTTGTTCGTGTTAGCAGTTGGAATCACTGCCTAGCTTTGGTGTCGGGCATTCTCTAGGAGCACTGGTACATCTTCTTATTGGTTGTATTCCATCGACCCGACCCTCTTGAAGGTTCTGTGTTCACTCTGGTCTATGTCACAGGAGCCCGTTATGCAGTGGAACGGGCAGGCAACGTTCTGATGTCTTTCAACAACAAGGTGTGTATTCTTCTCGTTCAAAAGCATAATTAACATCCCAGCACTGTTCAGGGGGCCAAGCAAGCAATTCCTTTGTTCTCACCGGTTGCAGTTCCAATGGCTCAAAACCTCGGGCCCCTCCTCACACAAATCAGCAACTCTCCCACCGTTCGCTTCGGGGTAATCGTTCTACATTTCATGCAATCGCTGTGTGTTTTTAAGCATTTGCTTCTCATAGGCAGAAATGGCAAAGAGGCAACTCGAAACTCTCAGTCCGCCACTCGTGAAGCAGATCCTTCCTCTTGTCGAGCAGCTTCCCTCCTTGTACATGGAGCTGGCAAACGGTAAAGAAGACTTCACTCCAACCGTAGAAGATGCAACTAGATTGGTACAAAACTATTTTTTTATTTTGTGTGTGTGTGTGTGTGTGTTTCTCGTGCTTTTGCTGAAACGCTTGAGCTAATGTTTGTGTCAATTGTCCAGATAAGATCCTACTATGGCATCAGACGTAATCTACTGGTGCGTTTCAAGGACGATGTGATCGACGAAACTCCGGAGCTGGCCAAGATCTTGAGCTCGAGCTCTGCTGTGAGCATGAGCCTCGACTTGTCAGTGAGGACGTTATCTGGAGATCACGCCAGGCCTCTCCAGCAGGTGATACTTCTCTCCAAGAAAACACTCCAGTTCTTGCAAAGTTTCTGATAGTTTAACAGGTATTTCCCGAGGTTCCTGGCGTGATGGCTGACGCTGTGACGCGAGGAAGCGATTTGCTAGCATCGCTAGCGGCGGGCACTCTTTTCGAAGGGGTGGCCAAAGAGGTTGGGCAGACTTTTGGATCTGATCCAGCGTCTCAGCGGCTTCGCCAGCAGCTTCTGGAAGATATCGAAAACTTGGTGGAAGAAATCGCAGCGTGGATGCTATTGTCGATACAAAGCCGTGCTGAGTAACGAATATGTATGTAAGTGTGTATATTAATTCTGATTTAGACCCTGCATGGTTGACAAAACAACTATAGGAAATATACTAATCTTCAGATTTTGAATGGTTGTGAAAATTGTGCAAGGTCTATGGACAAAAAAGGCATCTCATAGATGTTGAAAAGTTTGCTCATGATTTATGTGCTTCTATCCTTGAAAGTATGGTTGTCTTTGAGGTTTTGTCATGGCTATCTGTAGTATCCAGAAATACGTTTTGGGACACCAAAATAACTTGATGTGTTGTGGTAATTTGCGACTGATTTTGGTGAATTTAGCTAGAAAGTGTATCTGTAAGTTTTAGAGTGGGTAAAAGTAATGAACCATATAGCATATTCTACCATCTAACATTTCTAGCATACTTTAGACGAGACTGATCTGAACGCAGGAAGGCTGAACGAAACTGGTGTCAACCATTTGTAGAAGATCTAGTTATGGAATCTCAGAAAGTTTTTCCCTGCTCATCTCTTAAGTGTTACATTCCCAGCTTGCGAGCAAAGGCTACGAGTGTGACGCTTTTTTTGTGAGCTCTCTCGTACGTCCCTCAGATTGTGGAGGAAGACCTTGTGTCCAGATGGCAGAAGGATAGAACTGTAGGTAACATCAAGCGTTGTGTAGCTAGCTTTTATTTTTTGTACAAGGTCAGATCTGGAAGATTTGCTTTCTAGAGCAGCGAGAAGCGGATGAGTAACTCAGTCACTGCTCTACTAAACCCTGAAAATAATTAATTTAAATTAACCTTTTCCACTTTAGGGTTTCTAAGTGCAATCTTCGTAGCTAATGGCTCTTGTCGTGTTCATGAATGTCAGGGATTGTATCTGCGACTTTTTTGGGACACTCTGGGCTGGGCTGCTTCTGGCATTCCAGAATTCCACAGTTGCAAAAGGGAAGAGTGATCAATGAAAACAAGACTGTTCCTTCGCTCCAGCACTGGTGCAACCAGTTTGGTGATAGGATTATGTTTGTTTGGGATGCTTTGGACCACGAGGAAAACGATACCGAGCAAGACAGGAGCCTCAAGGACAGAGCCAGAGACAGGCTAGAGTGCCTTGTACTGTGCAGTTAGCAACATGGAATGCCACTGAGGATAGTGACTAATTAAACTTGGAAATGGTGAATGACTACAAAGAATAAATACCTTTAAAATATACATCTGTTTTTTGCAATATGCCTTCTATAAGTAACTCTATAAGTACATGGCAATTTAACAAACCATTTGTGGACATAATTGAACAAGTTTTGACAAGGTTACTAGCAGATTAATTCCTTACAAAAATCTAAATACAATTTAGAGTTGTGAGTGTTTAGAATATGGAAAGGGAATACAGAAAATGTGCATATCAATTAGCCCAACAACCCTAGTTTATATACAGGAGCGAGTGGTCTGGATTGAAACCAATCCGATGACTACTTATACTATAATCCCATTGTAAGCTCTTAAGTTTAAACTTCCCGAGAAGTCATCTAGCCCAGTTTTATTCAAACCCAAGAACATTTAACCCGAAATATCCCAAAACCTTTAACCGATTTGAAAATGGGGTGCATTTTTATTTATGGGCCTTTTCCCTTTATATTTAAACCCTATAGATCGTCTCTTAAGTCGTTCTTTTTTGTTGCTTACAATCTACCACGCTTCCCTGCAAGTTCACGCCCTCGTGAATGGAAGCTGAGAGCCGCAGCTCTCCCGAGAGCCCTGCTCTCTTGATACCCTACCCCTCGAGTCGAGCCCAGCAGAAGCAAATTGAACCAGCCAGATGTCAATCAACATGTGGTGTGATTCCCTTATCCAACCAACAGAGTCGGACATAAAACCACTCTGTAAGCTCCTGAGTTTAGACTTCCCGAGAAGTCACCCAACCCAATACTATTCAAACCCAAGGATGTTTAACCCTAAGTATCCCAAGACCTTTAACCGATTGGAAAAGAAGGTGCACTCTTATTCATAGGCCCTTTCCCTTTACATTTGAACCCTATAGATTGTCTCTCGAGTCATTCCTTTTGGTTGCTTACACCTATTGTGGATATTTACGTCCAAGACAAAAGACATATTTATGAATGCCACGATTTCAATTTTAGTGGTAAAAATATACTTTGCTTAAAGGTATATTATATTTTAAGTAGCCACTAATCAATATAATTCGAACCTATGCCATTTGGTCTAATACTATATATAACACACCCTATTTCTTTCCCTTTAGCCAATTGGAAAAAGGGTAATTGCTTCATAAGAGAGCCTTTAGTGGTTATTTTATCTCTATTTATTCTTTAAGGTTCCAAGGATCTAAGGTGATAATCCCATAATCACATGTATAGATACTTAGGAGTAAATTATATTATATTGACTTAATGACTTATTAAGTGGGATTAGCAAGTCAAAAGAATGAGGTTCATAATTGAAGAGTTGACTTCAAAAAAGAAAACTTGTAAAACCAAACATGGAGTTTATACATAATCATAAGTTGATCATCTAATTTGTCCAGTGAGATAACTTGGAAGTTAGGAGGAACAAAATTTCTAAACTATAGCCTATATAAGAAAGAAAAATTAATTAGCATGGATATAAAATTGGTGTACCAACATGAAAAGTTATGCCAAACATCCTATATAATACCATCTGTAGATGTATATATAGAGGTTAAGTTAAAATTTCAACTCTTTAGTGTTTGAAGGGCATTAGGGTATAATAATGGTTTAAAATATAAGAACACTCATTTAACAATGGTTATCAATAATGATGTTAGCTTGGACACACCATCAAGTTCATAATTAGTGTATTTAATATAAAATTTTAACACATTTAACTAAAATACTTTAGTGGAAATGACACTGAAGATATAGTGAATAGGATGGGGATACATAATCTTAATTGCTACAAACCCTTGGCTGAAAGGGATAACTTAGATGCATTGTGGAGTGTGGAGTGTGAGGATGCATCAACAACTCCAAGGGTCAAGCAAACACAGTATCTATTTCTAACTATATCAAAGTATTAATATAAAATCCCAAAGTGATCTTATGGCTAGCTAAGGATAAGCTCTTTGCTAGGTTGAATAACAATGTCCTTAATTCAAAATAATAATTTAAACAAATGATATGATATGGTTAAAGTGGCTGAGTAGGACACTTATTAAAGGTGAAATGGTCAATATAGAATGTCTTTTGAAGTGCTATCATAACAAATAAATGGCATTATAGCATTGTTATGATCAAGAATCCTCTGCATGGAAAGAAAAAGAAAAAGAGTTAATCATTCTATACAATATGAAAAACTCACCTCTCTGCCCACCGAAACTGTTGCTAGTCCTTAAGGGCTCTATAAGGCGTTCCAGAAACAAGCGATACGTGATCCGTGGAGCACCACCCACAAAACGGGCAACTGATCTCCTTTGCTCGGTCTTAGAATCCATGCTCCCTGGAGAAGGAAAACAAAATCACCAGTGCTGTCTCCGCGAAAGAAAAAAAACAGATAGAGCTTACTTGGATTTCCTGCCAGCGTCCAAGAGTTCCTTGTGTTTTCATCGCAGAGTCCACAAAAACCCTGGAAAGAAAGCATGAAAACGAGGCAATTCATCGAAATTCTTTCACCAGCATACTTCTCGATCTGTCCATAGAGCTGGAGGCTAGCAGTCTTTCCTTGCGGCTCCGAATTGCTAGAGAATGTAACGTCATCCATGGAACTCGAGAAGCTAGAAAACCTGGGATTGTCTCGTCGCCGGCGCCATGACGCTGCCGCGGTCGCGAATCCAGTGCCTGGCCTGTCGCCCATCTTGACTCTTTCAAACACCAAAAACCCTTGAAATATTTCCATCCTCCATGCTTTACCCTAGCGAGACGATCGATCGATGCGAGCTTGGAGCGCTGGAGGAGCGGAGCTAGCTCGTCTAGATCGGCCGCGCATTGCTGGATCCAGAGAGGTGAGCGCATTCTTCCTAGGGTTTTGGAGATGAGAAAGCGATCGATGCAAGAATCGAGCGAAGAGGAGGAGGAAGAGCAGCGGCTGCGCAGCTGCGTCGTGGATTATAGCTCTCTCACTCCATCCGCTGCTAGGCCAATCGATCGCCAGGTAGAAGAAGGCGCCGCCGACGATCATCACCTCAAGTTCTACCAGGTTCGGCTCCAAGATCACCTCCACGAATTCCTGGACAAGACAGTGGAGATTATCCGCGCGGAGGAGGAGCCAGATCGTCCAGTGGCTGCTCCATCCCAGGAAGAAGACGATGGATTCCATCTCTTTCGGAAAGCTCCGGCTGGGATAACGATGATAGAGAGAGTCAGGGATGGATCTCTAGAGCACAGGGCTAGTGGCAAACGCTACATTCACAGTACAAGGGGGTGGTTTTCTAGTGGCAAGAACTCGTTAGAGAATGTAGTGATCGATGGTGAGAGTGTGAGAGTAGAGGCTGAGAAGGCGAGAGAGAAGGCTCTGGCGGCATGGAAGGATAGAATTTCTAGAAAGGAAGAAGCCATCGCTAGAGAGAACTCGAGGGTGGCGGCACTGAAACAAGTCAGGGGTGAGAAGTGGATTTGCTAGCTCAAATCCACGAAATCGTGCGTTCTCTCGTGTTTTTTTTTCTCGTTTCTTCTTCATCAGAGAGAGAAGATCAAGGAGCCTTCTCAAAGGAGCAGAGATCGAGTTCACTAATGTAAGTTATTGTTTTTCGCTTTTCTTGACAATCCTGGGAGAAACTAACTGGAACTTGCATAGGTTTTACTGCTGGTTTAATTCAAAGACACGATTTTTTCTTTCTTTCTCATATTCCTTGTGCTAAACATGACATACAGATTGTCGCTATCAAGATTTTCGCAAGTTCATCGAAGTGATGTAAGTTAGACTAAAGATCTCAGTACTTTCTTTTCCATGCATTCTAACTCAATTCTTCTCGGCCGATGTTGCAGAAGTTTCAAGGGAACGGTTTCAGCAATTATAAAAGTGTCCTTGAAGCCTTGAGGAAACATAAGTACTTTCTTTTCTTCTTCTCAGGCTCACATAAGTTCAAGTGACATCACGTCTCAAATTGTCAAAGGGAAGAAAAGAGAGAAAGAGAAAGGAACTGACCTCATCCACTATGAGGTAAGGTCTTTTCCAAATTTTCGAAAACGAAATAACTGAGGTGAATTATTCAGATTTCCATTGCCGCGAGTTTCGGTCCTACGCTGCATATACAGTTGACTCGTGGCTTTTGGCTAGCAACTCCCCACGACGGGACCATATAATGCTGGTCCCAGCTCTACGAGAGAGCAGTCACGCACAACTTGCTTGAAGGCTAAGTAGCGAGTTCCTTTCTCTGCCTTTGCACCGACTATATGTGACCAGGATTCAACATCGTTCCTCCAGAGATCAGGTATGATTCTTCGAGCTTCCGAAAGTTCCATCAAAATTTGCAATTTTCCTGGTCAGGGAGGAGTGGTCCGGGAGCTCAATGAAAAAGAAAAGAAGCAGAGAAAGGAGAAAGCTACCTAAAGGAACGGCGTTTGGCGAGAAAACGATAAGAAGCTGCCGTAAAGAGTGAAGGTGATGGACCACGAGCAGCAAGAAGAAACGAAGGTTCGACTTTTTTCTTTCATTTCAAAGTGGCATTGCCAAAATCCTTGATTGTTTTTCCCTCTCTCTTAACTAGGATCACGGGGATGGGCCATGCGTCTCTCTGCTTGAAAACGAAAGCAAAACGAAGGCAAGCTGGACACAAGCAAAAACTACTCTTGTTTGAGGGAAGCTGTGTACGCGGCTTTCGCGATTGGATGATCCACTGGCGGTATACTTTACTCGCTGATCTCGATCGATCGATCCATGGCAGCCTTTAAAATCCTGGCGATTGTTGCAGGGCGTCTATAAAAATCTCGTCGCGAAAAGAATGGGAGGTGTGTTTGCTCCTGCTATACTGCTGCTTGGACGTGTTTTGGATTACGACTCCTTGCGAGGAGGCATGGCCTGCCTGGCTGCTTTGTTCTGCTCCTCATAACTTACATGTTGCCAAAAACTTTCTCTATAAAATCTTTCTTCTCGGGGTTTTAAAATGGAAAGGAGATTATGAAGTCGTATTTCCTTTGTTGAAAGTTGGCGTCTTTGTCTCTCATTTGTAAATGTTGGCCACCATGAAAGAAATCTGCCGTTCTTTAAAATAATTGGAACAAGCGCAACCCATCACCACCGCTGTGTCCGAGTTCAACTTCCCCCATGGTTGTTTTATCGTTTTTATTTTTGTGAAAGAAGAGAGAATCAGAAACGCCTCCCCGCTTTCCCAAAATGTCAATGTGCAGCAGCGATTTGTTTAGATGAATGCAGGAACAGGTGACGTTCCTAGTGATGCGCAATTTGTCAGACACACGTCAACTTTGCCCCCTTATGAAAATAAAAATTCGGACAGCGGATCTGTGTGCCATGGAAAAGTTGACGCAGCGGATCCGAGACTACATTTTGTAAATCGCCTATTGAAATTCCGCTACCTAGTTTATTAGAGTAATCAAAGGCAGATTAAGCAGTGACTGATCTCAACCAAATCTTGATTGCAAAACGGTTCTTGTCGTGGATTGCAAGTGTTCACCAAAAAAACTAAAAAGACTCAAAAGTGTGAGTGAGTGAGTTTGCATTGCATCAATATGTAAATGGTTTCGTGCCTCTGGTTGGCAAGACCCCAACAACATGTAGTCAAAAAATCATCAACCCAGCACAAGTGGTGTTTAGAAAAACATTACAAATGCTTCAAGCGTGAACAAGTATGGAATCTGCATCTTATGTGTGCTGGACTTTCACACTTCCAAGCATTCCAATCTTTGAGTTTGATGTTTCAAGGGCTTCCCAAATGCAAAATGCATGGCTTGTTTTTTCAATCTTTTTCACAGATACGAGATTATCGAAGAATTGCAGGATCTTACAGTGTTCTTGACTAATCTTACTTAATCATGGAGAATCTTCATATAGGGATTACGTTAATCAATCCCGGGATTTTGCGTGGCTGGGTGGAACACTTGTATGCAAACAAGACCCAGAGGCGATGAAGCACGGAAGCACCATCGAATCGAACTTTTGGCCCGCGCGCCAACCAACCAGCAACAAACAAGTTTGAAATGATCCAACTGATCCAAATCTCACCCGTGGGGACTTTTAAAGTTTAATGTTCTCACAGCAAAGCCGGGCCAAGTTGACTCGATCACGATTGCTTGCGTCCGCCGTGCAACGGAAAACGCTAAAAATTACATTTGGCATGACAGGACCAAAGAGAAAAGAGAAAACTATGGAGATTTCAAGACAGCTTTGGAGATTTTGTCACAAGATCATCGCCACCTTTGTGTTTGCTTGATCTTTGGTGTGTATAGTTTATAGGAAAGATTTAGAGCTGCGTGAAAGGTTGCTTTCCTGCCTCGCACGTATATTAGGGCAAGATGAAAGCGTACTTCCAAGCTATAGCCGTGGTGTTTTCATTGAATCTCTATGATACAAGGACAATGCATGAATGGGGTGGCTCCTTTCGAAAGTTACACTTAATATTCCATACAATCAATAACCACGGCGCCACGTAACCCTAATATTCCCTCGAAATTTAGTAAGCCCTTTACTTTGGCGGGAGATTAGTTACCACGCGTCGCTGTTACGGCGGCTGGCGGCCTGGCACTGGAGAATTTACCGGACGGATGAGGTGAAAAGTGAAAGACCTCGAGCCCCGTGGCCAGGTTACTTCGTGTTTTAACCGTGCCGGGAGATGGATCGTTTGGCGGCCATAGCGTGCTGAGAGTAAATACTGGCACGGGAAGGCGGCCGGCAGGCCACCATCACAGGTAAAGGGGAAAGGTCAACCAACCGGAGTACGTTTCCAGATAAACGTCCGTACTGGCGCCCCTCACGCGTGACGGGCGGTAAAGGTTTAGTTTTATCTGCGCCAAATTTCACGTGGACGGCCAGGATTGATTGTCTCCCCCGTTTTGGTTTTGACCCTTTGCTACGATCCCCCAAATCGCAGCCGTCCACGTCATGGGGTGGTCTCGGTTTGCGCATCTCCACCGTTGGAACAAATTCCTTTTGTGGAACCTCCTTTATAAAAGCCAACCTAGCTAGTTAGTCCTTGTTCTTGGAGCGATACTAGGAAATTTTCCCAAATTCTCTTCCTTTCTGGATTGGATGAATCGATGCGTCGACATGGAGGATCCCTCTTCCTCCTTCGCCAGCGTCACGGCCTATCTCTCCGCGATGTCCAAGACGCATTCGCGGCTCAAGCAGCGAATGGCCGCGTCGTGGACGCCGAGCGAGGAGATGAACGAGGTGCGATCGCGATCCGGCGCCGAAATGCGGCGCAAGCTCAAGTGGTATGATCTAATCGCGATGGGAATGGGAGGGATGCTGGGGGCGGGGATCTTCGTCACGACCGGCACCGCCGCCAAGAGCTTCGCCGGGCCATCGATAGTGCTGGCATACATTGTGGCTGGCATCTCGGCGCTCCTCTCGGCCTTCTGCTACACCGAATTCGCGGTGGAAATGCCCGTCGCTGGAGGCGCGTTTAGCTACTTGCGCATCACATTTGGTAAGAACTCCTAGAACTCCTCTCCTTTCCTTTATTTTTGCTTTCTATTTTGTGTGCTTGCGTTGCTCCAAGTTGTGTTGTGAGTGATCCTTTGAGCCAGGGATTGTGGATTGAATTGGAACTTTGCTTCTTTTCCTTGTGTTTTGCTCGACCTGCTGATTTTTTCTTGTGGTCTTTGGTGGTTAAGTTGTGAGTGATCCTTTTGAGCCAGGGATTGAATTGTGATCTTTGTTTACTTTCTTTGTTTTGTTTCTCGGTCGAGCTGATGTTGGATTTTTTCTTGCGAATTGGCTCCTTTGAGCCAGGGATTGTCGATGGTCTTTGTTTCGTTCTTGCTCGAGCTGATTTTGGAATTTTTTTCCTTGTGATCTTCGATGGTTTGTGATTGAATTGTGGCCTTTGTTTCTTTTCTTTGTTTCGAGCTGAGGTTGGATTTTTTTCTTCGACTTTCTTAGGGGAATTCGCTGCGTTTTTCACTGGTGCCAACCTCCTCATGGAGTACGTTTTGTCCAACGCTGCCGTGGCCAGGAGCTTCACTGCGTACTTTTCAGCCATCTTTGGAGTGGCCGCTTGGAGAATTGAGGTGACAGCAATCCATTCCAAATACAACATGCTGGATTTCCCGGCCGTGGCTCTGCTCATCATAATCACAATCTTCTTGTGCTACAGGTATGAGAAATTTCAACATTCTTCTCTTGCCTCGTTTGCTGCTTTTGGTGTTCATTTTTTTTTGGAGTTTCTTTTTCCCTGGTGGGATCCTTTTGCATAGTTTCTGTTTATTGATACCTCGATGATTGCTCCTGGTTCTTAGTTTCTACAGGCCCCCCAAAGTTTATGCTCGTTCTTATCTCGAGAGAATTCGATGCGTGTGCCGGATCCGATCGATTAAAACCGCTGGCCTGTGTGGTGTCTTTAGCGTTTTTGGTTGCTACTGCACAGAATCCCATGACTTTATCGTCGCTCTCAAGTGGATAGAGTCACCAGTCTTGATCCTCGAAATGGTTTCGTGGTCAATTGTTTTGGCTGGAAATTGTTGCGAAGTTCGTCTTTATTTTGTTATGCGAGGCTTTGGAATGCGAGCAGTCGCGCGACTTTCTTGAGCTTGCTTGTGCTTGTTTTTGTATCCGGGAAGATTTGACTATAATGTTTTTATATCCTTTGTTCTGCAGCACCAAAGACAGCTCCATTTTTAACATGGTGATGACAATAGCCCATGTTTTGTTCATACTGTTCATCATTGTGGCCGGATTTGTCAAGGGAGACGTGAAGAACTTCACAACACCCGGACACCCGAGCAGCGAAGGTGGATTCTTCCCTTACGGAGTCAGGGGAGTGCTAAATGGTGCCGCGATTGTTTACTTCAGTTATATCGGCTACGACGCAGTTTCAACTTTGGCGGAAGAGGTTGAAGAGCCTGTGAAGAAGAACATACCAATTGGTGTCTCCGGCTCGGTCGCTATCGTTTCAGTCTTATACTGCCTCATGGCTGCCTCCATGAGTATGCTCGTCCCGTACGATATGGTAAGCTTTTCTATATGGTTTTGGGTGTGTTCTGATATTATATCCTCTTGTGGTGATTCACAGATTGACGCGGATGCCTCCTATCCGATGGCTTTCAAGAAAGTTGGCTGGGATTGGGCTGCGAAGATAGTCTCGGTTGGTGCAAGCTTGGGAATTTTTACGTCCCTGCTTGTTGCTATGCTTGGACAGGCGCGATACTTGTGCGTGATAGGAAGGTCCAACGTTATCCCTTACTGGTTTGCGAAGGTAAATCCTTCTACAGGGACTCCAATCAATGCGACAGTTTTCTTAGGTGAGCACTACGCGTCTTTCTTTATAGTTCTCCAGGCTTGCGAATTTAATACTTTTGTTTCGATGTCCAGGCGTTGTAACTTCTGCGATATCTCTGTTCACCGATCTAGAGATCCTACTCAACATGATTTCTATCGGGACGCTCTTCGTCTTCTACATGGTCGCCAACGCTCTCATCTTCCGGAGGCACGTCGTGAGGAAGATCTCCAGCCCCTGGCCGACGCTCGTCTTCCTCGTCCTCTTCTCCGGCTCCGCCATCGGCTTCGTCACCTTTTGGAACTTGAACCGCAACGACCTCTGGTGGGGGCTCGTCTTCTTCGGCGTCTTGTGCGTGCTTCTCACTATGATCTTTTGGTGGAAAGTTCCGCAAGCTCACAAGCCGGCCGACTGGGGTGCTCCGCTCATGCCGTGGTTAGCCGCCGTCTCCATCTTCCTCAACGTGTTCTTGCTCGGCTCGGTGGACTGGCAGTCTTACAGGAGGTTTGGGCTCTGGTCGATAGTGGTGGTGATTTTCTACGTGGTTTACAGCGTTCACGCGAGCTTCGACGCAGAATCCAACCGCAGCAGGCTACTACTGGCAGGTAAAGCAGGGGATTTAGAGCTCCAGGATCATCACCATCAGCAGCAAGCTGTAAAGTCGAAGCTCCAGTTGGTGCATGGCGAGCAGCAACAGGTTGTTCTTCAAGTCTGTCCGGGGGATCAGAGCTAGAAGTAACTGCGATGACTATGACTTGGGAGGTACTAGAAACTTTACACCGTACTCGGGATTGGCGAGGGAAGCTGGGCCAGGGCCTTGAAGATTCACAGGCAGGAGGAGACAACCAAACAGACAGGACAGTGACTTACGCACTCGGTTGATTGATTGATGGATACGGTATCACTTCCACATCTGGCCAGAGGAGGAAGATCACGACTGCGAGAAGATCGTTCGTGGTGGTCGACGAAGGAAAGCTTTGTAGCATATTTACAGTGGTGGTGGTATAGGATTACTTAGACAAATTCTTACGACAAAAGGAAGGGAGAAATCTCCGGTGAAAGAAAAATCCTCCAGGGAAATCGAGCTCCTGGCTGTACTATAAAAATGTCTTTCGCTTTTAACTTTGTTTGTTCCGTCTCTCTCCGTGCCGTGCCGTGCTTTAGAAAGGATTAGAATTTCGAGGGAACAAGTCACCTCGATGAACACTATTAATTCGTCTTGTCTACGTAGCCTTGGAGAGAGAGAGAAAACAACATCAAGGAAGCATGGCCCAATCAATCAATCAGTCCATCAATCAAACAGCAACAACCAGCAACACCAAGAACCGAGAAGCCCAAAAGAAAAGAGAAAAAAGACAAAGAGTGAAAGAATCCATGATTTCTATGTGCTGGGGTGTGGTCTGGTGGGCATGGCATAAATGGGGCGCATCCAAAGGAAACAAGAGGAGGGAAGTGCAAATCAATCGAAATCGATCGGCAGAAGCATATAATTGTACAAAGACAGGCGAAAGTATAATGAAGATCCAGAGTTTCTGGAATGGAAATTGACCACATAACATGCGACACAGCAGAGGACCTCTGCTGGAATGCCAGAAATTTTGAGAGCGCTGATGGAACAAAAAGTGCCAATTTTCCAGATATTGTGCCAGATTGCAAAAGCCAAAAAAACAGAGTGCTCTGTTTTTATGTTCAAATTTCACAATTTCAGTGCTAGTGTAAGTCTGGAATGATCCTGAAATCAGCAAGATCTCGTTCAGATTCAAGTTGAAGCTATCAATCAGAGGTGTTGTACAAAGTGCAATAGCTCTTGGTGGTGGAAGGGCAAAATGTAAAGTGTGCCACTTTTTCCTCTGCTGTTTCTTTGCTGGATCGAATATAAGTGATTGAGAAACTGCCTCAATCAGGCGATCATATTCTCCATCCAGAGGAGTTAGTAGATAGAGAAAAATAGAATAGAGTTGAAAAGAATCCATTCATTCTTTCTCCAGTCAAGAAACAACAAACTCCAGATGACAAAGTACCAAAAGCCCAAACAAAAAAGAAGCTCCCCTCAGAGCATAGCCCACCCTTTGTTTCTTGTTTCTTTCTGTTGAAGGAGATAAATTCAAAGGAAAAGAGAGATAGAGCCTTGAAGATTTTGATGATTCTCTCATTGGGACCAAGCTAAAATAGCTTGTTTTCTTGCTTGGTGGAGGGAATATCTCTATGCTTCTACTCAGTGTGTACCATTTAAATAACATGACAAGAAGATAGCGCTCTCCCCTCATGAGTCATGTCCAAACTCATCAGCATTATTCCACTCCACACCACTTTTACCACCTGAAAGGATCCGCCACCATCATGTTTGCACTGATTTTCCAGCCCAAGTACGAAGGAAAAAAACATAGAAAAGAAAATAAAAAGCTGATAGCTAGCCAATTCATAGAGTCTGGTCTTGCTCTTAGCTTGGAAAGTTTTTCATCATGCTTCCGGGGAAAAATGGGAGTGTGGAATTTCTCCTCAATAATTAGCTTGGCATCTGTTTAATGGAAGACAGATCTTTGCTCTCACTCATCCAACCTTGATGAAGCGAATAAAGTTCATCCAATTCGAGAGAATCGGCTACCACCATTTGCGATTTCTCTATAATTTTAGGATTAGTAAAGGAAATGATGAAGAGACACAATCAAGAGGCACCTTAAACAGGGTTCTTACATGAACTTGTTGGAAACTTCAGTCCTGAGATGCGTTTTTTCCTGCAACTACTCATTAGCTAATCGCCATGACAATGTGTTCTTCTTTTTCTTTTTATTTTGCGTACCAGTCGCGCGAGCGCACCCAGATTAAAGCTTCATGGGCCATACAAGCTCTCCTGTGACAGAGATCGACTTAAACAACAGCTCTGGATGGTCCTCCAATCGTGTAGACTTTGTTGCTTCCAGCTCCTTGAGCAAACTACAAACAATCTGGTCGATTTTTTTTACAGGAAAGACGTTAAGTCTTTGCCGCACGGAAGAGAAGAATAATGCGTATAAAAGAGTGATACCTTTCGAGCATAGCCACCGAAAGCAATGCCAGCAATGCCAGCAATCATAGACTCATTGCCTGTGTAGAGTATAATAGTAAAACCAATCGAACAAGTAGTGAAAGACAAACCATTGTTTACAAGTCCAGCGAGCTCTAAAGCCTCTCTGGTGTGTGAATTTGTCCCACCAGCAAGCTGTAAGAAACCTGTAGCAAACAAGACAAAAAGGAAAGATAATAACAGTGTTGGTGGTCGAAGTGAAAAGATCGGCAAATACCTGGGGGACGATCCAAAGCCGCTAAAACTCTTCCACCCAGGATTACCGCAGCTCGAGTAGCACCCTTGCCGATATCACCACTCATTGGACGTCCATCCAGCTAAAGAATCATATCTAGCATCGTTGAAATCAAAACGAAAACAATACCTGCCAGAGGTTTGCACATTTGACATATGGTTTCATGCTCTCGTACATTGTCGTCATGGAAGAGATCATTGAATCGCCCAAGTCAGGAACGCTTACCTGCAAACGAGTGAAGAAATTCATGAAAGCAAGCAAGTGCTTACTGCCACAAGCTTTAGATGATCGAAAGAACTGCCAAGGTTTGTCACCAGCTGATGAAAAGCCTCCAAACGTCTAGAAGTTTAGCACTAGGGACTTTAGATGACACTAACTGGAATAGAAAACGCTACCCTTGTCCGGTGTGAATCTCCACAGCATCAACTTCGTCTAAGCACAGTAACTCTGAGACCTTCTCAAGGTTTCGTACGTAAGTTACAGCTTCTGGATCCAATGTTCTTGTTAGCATTCCTACAAAAATGGAATAGAAAGAACTTACGAATGTTTCGCATGGGACAGACTGGAATGCAACGACCACAGCCATAGCAGCGTTCCGGAATAACTCCACTTGATTCTGGATAGCTGAAAGAAATAGCTGAAGCAGGACATACACGCTCGCAGGGACGTGGACAGTCAGAAGGACAAAGCCTTGGATTGAACTCTGTCCAAAACCAGCTGAAAAATCAAAAGATTTCTTCACAAAAACTTAGAACTCCCGAGAGCATACCAGCTTTGCGGAAATGAGGATCCTCGTCATCGTTTATGCTGACCATGAGCCACGGATCACGGAAACTATATCCAAAGTCCAGAGCGATTTCCTTGGCCGCACGAACACCATCACTGACTGCCGTCACTACTGCTCCATCAGCAGCGCAATCGATGCAGTCCACTGCAAGGAAATGAGCAAAGAGTTTGCTTCTACTAAATCTTTCCTGTAAAGACAAACTTACCACCAGCAAGAGCATAGATGAGTGATAGATTTCTTACTTCTGCAATGTCCTGGAAAGATGCGAGAAATTAAGTTGCCACTTAGAGATCAAAATGAATCATACATTGCGTGATCACACAAGGAAGAAATGAAACATCAAGAGGAGAAATCTTGTAAATGAGGCAAACCAGCAGTGAGACGCACCTCAAAGCTTGCTCCGCAAATCAATTTCACCCAGCGCCCGGACTGGAGCGCCGCCAATGGCGACTGTTTGTAGCATTCCAGCTTGCTGAGAATCCGGTGTAGCGATTGCTCGCAGTCCAATGTTGTCGCCGAAGAGAACGGAGATTGATTGGATAGATTCTCACCGCGAATCCGGCAAACCCTGCCGTGCGCCAGGAACAGATGACAACTGAGCGCCATAAAAGAATATCCGGTGTCCAATCACCGACCGTCCATTTCTAGGTCTAAAAGCTTGGACGGTCCGATTTGAAAAAGGTTCTAAAGTGCTTAGAATATGCTTAATGGGGAAATAAATTACTATATAATATATGTTATTAACAATCTAAATTATGTTATGTTTTTTAGTGAAGTATTTTTAATTCAACTTAAGAACTTCAACTTCTTTTGCATCAAAGTTTGCCTTTGACTTGAAGTCCCAATATCACCATCAAAGAATTGCAAGTAATATAAAGCCAAAATATATTATGTCATTTTATTCTAATTGGGGATGTTTGTCTAATCAAGATTTATATTTATCGTTAGTTATTAAAAAAGATTAAAATTTTATGTGTAAATGTCAAGAAAATATTAGAAAATAGTGTTATCCGAAAGTTGTGGAATCCTTGGGCATATGAACTTTATCTTGTCACAAAATTTGATAGAAGTATTTGCTTTTGCATCAATTATCAACTATTAAACGAAGTGTTATCCCAAATGTATATCTTTTTCCTCACATTGTTGATTTTTGGATCTTTAGAGAGAAATTGTTAATTCGTCAAGTTAAATTTTGCTTCTGGGTACTAGCAAGTGCTGATAATCAAAAATGATATTCCCAATATTACTTTTTGTATATCATTTGGTTTGTATAATTTTTTGGTGATGTTGTTCAATTTAATCAGATAATTGATATTGCCAATCAAGTACGAAGTTTAGAACGTCCTTGATTCCAAGATTTCATGGTCTAAACTCTGCTATTTGGTTGACTGGAAGGGTTATAAACCTAAGGAACGCACTTGGGAACCTATGGACAACCTGATTCATTCTCTTGACCTTGTTCAAGACTTCCACCGCCACTATCCTTCTCATCCCAGTCCTCATTCTTTTTCTCCATCTCCCATTTCTTGCCGCTCATCTCATCCTCCTCTTCGTTCTCGTTCACGTCCTCGTTCCACTCGTTCTTGAGGAGGGGGTGCTGTCAGGAATCCCCTAATTCTTGCCACATTCCTGACTCTCGCTGGATTCCTGACCTGCAGACCATATTCCTGACTCTCGAGACACTTCTCTATTCCTGACTCTCGAGACACTTCCCTATTCCTGACTCTTTGATTTCTTGTACGATTCCTGAGTCTCAAGCCACATTCCTGATGATGATGTGGCGCCTCCTCAACCTCAACTATATTTAGGCCGTCCTCGATCCAAAAGTGGTGGAGCTTCATCAACCTATAGTATATATAGGTTAGCCTTGTTCCATTTCTCCACAATCTGAATTAATGCCAATTTAAGGCTTCTTTTTTGTTTCCACTAGCTTTTTTCTTTGTCTTTTGTATTTTCCAGTCTTGATCTTGTTGGGGGTCTTGACAACACCATTTGATAGAGGAGGAAGTACTCAACACCAGTTGCCAATGCACTAGCAAAAGCACCAACTTTCACCAAGCGAGTCAAGTAGTTTGGAGGCAATAATGACATATTCATTGCCAATAGCCACCCCATTTGATAAAATGTCACAAACTCAAATGAACAATAAATTGCAATTGGCTTTAACTATCCTTCCATAGCATAAAAGGAGTATTATAAATTTGGCACCAAACATAACTATGCATATATCAAATAACATTATATCACATCTCCAGCCAAAAGAAAAACCTACGTAGTTTCTTGGTCATATGGCAATATCCTATAATGCCTACCTAGAATATAAGAGTTATGATCATGGAGAAAGCATAGAATAAATATCGAAGGTACCACTAGCTATAAATAATCATCAAGATTAGTCCTAAAGAAATAAAAAAGGTTGTCCTTAAAATAATATTGAGAATGTAAATGCCAAAACAACAAGTCATCAAAAAGTAATGCAGTATTTTTAAACCCCTTATAAAGCATTTGGATCCATACTTCAACCTTTTAAGCTTTATAAACTTTATCAAGAGAAGGTAAAGTTTGCTTTGCACCTTGTGGACATTGAACATCAAATACAACAACTGTTGACGGTACAAAATCCTTATTCAGAAAATCCACAAATGCTAAAATAATAGACTTGTCATGAATATGAAGAAATGAGAGGAGCTTGAGAAATAGTGTCAACATTAACCATAAAACTCCCTAGAAGATGAACAATCTTAAAATATGATATGCCAAAATTGGGGGAGTTGTCAATAGGACTTTAAAGTTCATAAGTGCATATATAATTTTAAGGTTGTTCATCTTTTAGGGAGTTTTATAGTTAATGTTGACACTGTTTCTCAAGCTCTTTTCATTTCTTCATATTCGTGACAAGCCTATTATTTCAGCACTTGTGGATTTTCTGAATGAGGATTTTGTACTATCAACAGTTGCTGTATTTGATGTTCAGTGTCCACAAGGTGCAAAGCAAACTTTACCTTCTCTTGATAAAGTTTATAAAGTTTAAAAGGTTGAAATATGGATCCAAATGCTTTATAAGGGGTTTGAGAATATTGCATTACTTTTTGATGACTTGTTGTTTTGGCATTTATATTCTCAATATTATTTTAAGGACAACCTTTTTTATTTCTTTGGGACTAATCTTGATGATTATTTACAGCTAGTGGTACCTTCGATATTTATTCCATGCTTTCTCCATGATCATGACTCTTATATTCTAGGTGGGCATTATAGGATATTGGCATATGACCAAGAAACTACGTAGGTTTTTCTTTTGGCTGGAGATGTGATATAATGTTATTTGATATATGCATAGTTATGTTTGGTGCCAAGTTTATAATACTCCTTTTATGCTATGGAAGGATAATTGAAGCCAATTGCAATTTCCTGTTCATTTGAGTTTGTGACATTTTATCAAATGGGGTGGCTATTGGCAATGAATATGTCATTATTGCCTCCAAACTACTTGACTCGCTTGGTGAAAGTTGGTGCTTTTGCTAGTGCATTGGCAACTGGTGTTGAGTACTTCCTCCTCTATCAAATGGTGTTGTCAAGACCCCTAGCAAGATCAAGACTGGAAAATACAAAAGACAAAGAAAAAAGCTAGTGGAAACAAAAAAGAAGCCTTAGACTGGCGTTAATTCAGATTGTGGAGAAATGGAACAAGGCTAACCTATATATACTATAGGTTGATGAAGCTCCACCACTTTTGGATCGAGGACGGCCTAAATATAACTGAGGTCGAGGAGGCGCCACATCATCATCAGGAATGTGGCTCGAGACTCAGGAATCGTACAAGAAATCAGAGAGTCAGGAATAGGGAAGTGTCTCGAGAGTCAGGAATAGAGAAGTGTCTCGAGAGTCAGGAATGTGGTCTGCAGGTCAGGAATCCGGCGAGAGTCAGGAATGTGGCAAGAATTAGGGGATTCCTGACAGCACCCCCTCCTCAAGAACGAGTGGAACGAGGACGTGAACGAGAACGAAGAGGAGGATGAGATGAGCGGCAAGAGATGGGAGATGGAGAAAAAGAATGAGGACTGGGACGAGAAGGATAGCGGTGGTGGAAGTCTTGAACAAGGTCAGGAGAATGAATCAGGTTGTTTGCAGGTTCCCAAGTGCGTTCCTCAGGTTTATAACCCTTCCAGTCGACCAAATAGTAGAGTTTAGACCGTGAAATCTTGGAATCAAGGACATCCTAAACCTCGTACTTAGACCCATCCTCAAGCTGCACTGGTGGAGGCGGAGGAATGACCCAATTTGGAATAGGACTAGGAATAGAAGGCTCAAGGAATGAGGAGTGAAAAACAGTGTGAAATATATATGAGGAGGGAAGTGCAAGGCGATAAGTGACAGGATCAATGATAGCAGTGATAGGGAAAGGACCAAGGCCTTTGAAATCAAGTTTTGGACAGGGCCTGGTGGTGGAGATATTTTGCCTGAGGAGCCAGATTTTATCCCCGATATTGTAAGGGGGACAATCCTAACGATGGACATTGGCAAATGTTTTGTGAGCTTCTTGAGCATGATGGAGGTGGAAGGAGATGGAATTGTGGATTTCCTGGAAGGTGGAGACAAATGCCTCAAAGTAGGGATTTGAACGAGAGGATTCGGATAGAGAAGGAAGTTAGAGATTGAATTGGGGATTTCGGCTAGAGTTCGCAAAGAAGGGGGAAATTCGAAGAGAGGAATGAACAAAGTTGTTATAGGAGAACTCAGAATGTGTGTATCTTCCACATCTGGAGTTGTTGAGAGAGACTATTGCTCTAGCTCTACTCTTGTCTTTAAAGAAACTACGGTCCTCAACATCTTATCTTTGTATACCACTTTAGTTTGCATTGAAACCGATTGATCGAGCATTTCCTTCTCACGAGTTTGTCGATGTGTCATAGCAAGGGAAACATTTAAGAAAGTCACTACATCCACCTAACTATCAAAGAGAGGTTGAGAGCCATGATCCGCCTCTACAAACTCCATAACATCTTGAAACTTGCTGAATATTGTTTCTGTGCCAACTCCTTGATGGCCGATGATTGTGGTGGACTCAACTAGATAAACTAGACCTGACCATGTGATCCTAGCCCTATTCCTATAACCCATCCAGCCTTCTCCAACATCCAGAAGCTAGGGTTCTCATGGGAGAGCTCTCCAAGCCATGGCCATTGTCCCTTGATATAGTCATTGCTTTCATCATTGTAGCCAATGTGGTCATCCAAAAAGTTCTTAGGAGTGGAGGAGAAGCCAAATAAGTTGACATCACTAACTATGCCCTTCCCCTTCATATCCCGCAAAGCTTGGTATTGTTGTGATGAGAATGCACCACCACTCGATGAGTTCACCAAGAGAGCTTTATTTGGCAATAGCCTTTGCTGGAAAACCTATTGTAAAGCTGGAAGTGACCTTTGAGGCTATCCAAAATATGCTAGATAGTCTCTCTTGAACCAACATTGGTCCTCTTCATGCCCAAAATCCCTGTAAAAGTCATATTGTCATCTCAGTTGAAGCATTGACCTTGTGATATGAGTGTGGTGGAGGAGCATTGTTGTATCTCTGACCATGACCAATAGGTTCTTAATAGCATCCCTCCTGTTGTGCACCTCTC